CCAGAGCATGGCCGGGCTCACAGCACCCCCCCCCACGGCCCCGGGCACGGCCAGGCTCACAGCGCCCCCCGCAACCCTGGGCATGGCCAGGCTCACAGCGCCCCCGCGGCCCCGGGCACGGGTGGGCACGGCTGGGCTCACAGCACACCCTCCCCCGCGGTGCCACGTTCCCGTCCACAGGGGATAGCTTCGCGGTGTCGCAGGCCAGCAAGGACAGCCACAGGGGTGCGGAGGAGGCTGTGCGGCGAGCGGGCGGCGTGGAGCACCGCGCTCGGGACCGGCCGGTAGGTGGGGGCTGGGCGCCGGGGGCGGGTGAGCATGTGGGGGTCGCCATGACGGAGAATGGGCAGGCGGGGGTTGCCGTGGACGGAGGTCGGGCAGGTGGGCGGGGGTCGCCGTGGATGGAGGTCGGGCAGGTGGGCGGGGGTCGCCGTGGATGGAGGCCGGGCAGGTGGGCGGGGGTCGCTGTGGATGGAGGTCGGGCAGGTGGGCGGGGGTTGCCGTGGACGGAGGTCAGGCAGGCAGGGGTCACCGTGGACGGAGGTCGGGCAGGTGGACGGGGGTCGCCGTGGATGGAGGTCGGGCAGGTGGGCGGGGTCGCCGTGGATGGAGGTCGGGCAGGTGGGCGGGGATCGCCGTGGACGGAGGTCAGGCAGGCAGGGGTCGCCGTGGACGGAGGTCAGGCAGGCGGGGTCGTCTGATGTTGGTATATTTGGGTTGGCTGTGTGCAGCTCCGTCCTGAGGCCAGGCCCCCCAGACCCCCATTACCCAGGGATGCTGGGGACCTGTGCTTTCCAGGGGTGTGGAATGCTGCACTGTACGTGGTCTGGATACTTTCTGGGGTCCAGCATAAGAAGATTGGTGGTGGACAGGGGCTTGCCAGGTGCGCGCTCCTCTGCTCTTGGTGAGGAAACAAGATTGAAGCGATCCAGGGTGACACCTGGCCTTGTCTCGGGCTGCCTGCCCGTCTGGCTTGCCCGTGGGAATGCGGATGGCCACCTGTGGCAGCTGAGTGCAGCCGTGTCCATGATCAGAAGTGTGGGACTGGGTCCGCTGGGAATGGGCTGCCACCTCTTAAGGGAGGGCGAGCATTGGGTCCCTGGAAAGTGCTGTGGAGCCGGCCCCGGGTCCCAGGGGGTGGTGTTCAGAGCAGAACTGATGCGCAGTGAGGGGCGGCCGCGGCCCCTCGCTCGGCCCGGGGCTGGGGCCGGCTTGGGACACTTGGAGTAACGGGCCCGCCGCCCGTGGCCCGCCGGTGGGACATGGCAGAAGCCCGGTGTGGACCTGGCTTGCGTCATTACCATCGGTTTTTACCTGACTGAGGACTGACCTGTATTTAAAAATGCGTTCTCCTCACCTGGCTGTGGTCTGCCAGCCTTTAGCCTGGAGCTGGGGCCACCCGAGTCTGGGCCACATTCCCACCTTAGTCCCCAGGGTCTTGCTCACGTCTGACACTCCTCCCCTCCCCCCCCCGCCAGCTCCCCCCCGCCCTCCCCCCCAGCTCCCCCCACCAGCTCTCCCCCCGTCCTGCCAGCTCCCCCCTGCCCTATCCTCCAGGTGGCTCTTTGGCTCCTTGGGAGTGTTTGTCCTCCCTGTGAAGTTATCTGTGGGGCTAGGCTGTGGGTTTGGGGGTGATCGCTGCGGGGCTAGGCTGTGGGTTTGGGGGTGATCGCTGTGTGGAGGGTCTAGCAAAGGACTTAAGTTATCAGAGCAGCCCTGGGCACTCCACCCCGAGTGCTGATGGGCTGGTGGCTCTTGGGGGTCACTCCCTTGGTCAGGCTATCTTTGATTTTTGCAGGAGCTCTTGAGGCTGGTGGGAAAGAGTTCAGAAAACAAGAGCCATTGCTTTTATGCTGTAAACAAAACGTAGATCTCTATGAAAACTGGGGATGGGATGCTTGGAAAGTCTCCTCCAGTCAAAAGAGACCAGAACAGGGGAGAGAGACTGGGGCCTGGGGAGCTGCTCAGGACAGGAGGAGCACCACCACAGCTCAGGACAGGGGGAGCACCACCACAGCTCAGGACAGGAGGAGCACCACCACAGCTCAGGACAGGGGGAGCACCACCACAGCTCAGGACAGGGGGAGCACCACCACAGCTCAGGACAGGGGGAGCACCACCACAGCTCAGGAAGGTGCTCAGGACAAGGGAGGATCTCTGGATGGGGAAGGTGCACCATCACAGCTGTTCCTTGCCTCCAGGCCTCTGTCCCTGGAAAGGGACGGAGAAGGCCTGGGACCCCTGGGTGCACAGTCCACAGGAGCTCCAGCCACAGAAAACTGAAGTTAGGGTTTGTGCCGCTCCAGACACTCGGGAGGCCGGAGCCTGGGCCCCTGGGATGCAGTCCGGGTCCTGATGGGGCTGTGGCTGACAGCACTCCTGCCTGCTTTTCTTTGGTTGTCTGTGCGTTCTGATCCGCACAGATGTGTGGGCCGGCCCCCGGGCCAGGGCCGGGGACTCCAGGGGCCTCAGGAGGCCGTGCGTCTGAACCCTCAGGTCCTCTGCATTGACCACACAGGCTGGATGGACCGGGTGAGTGTGTCTTCACTCCGGCCTCCAAGACACCACCTGTCTGGATGTCTGGAATGTTCCTCATACCACAATGGCCGGCACCGCTGTGGTAGGAGCTCTCTGACCGTGCCCCGGGGCGGCCCACAGGAGAACACGGGGCAGCCTTTCAAAGCTCGGGTCCTGCTCTTCATGCCCACACGTGGGGAAGTAATGTGAATAACTCTGAGGTTTCTTTCTTTGGAATTTAGAGTTGAAGGGCTATTTTACCTTTTCCTTAAAAGTCCTTCCAGCCCTGGGAGCTGTCTGGAAAGCTGCCTGTGTGGTGTGTGCAGACGCGGAGTGGGTGAGCTCCTGAATCTGTTAGTAAAGAGCAGTGTGCACCCGGGCAGTGTGTGTCCAGGCAGTGTGTATCCAGGGCAGTGTGTGTCCAGGCCAGGGCAGTGTGTGTCAGGGCAGTGTGTGTCCAGGCCAGGGCAGTGTGTGTCAGGCAGTGTGTGTCAGGGCAGTGTGTATCAGGCAGTGTGTGTCAGGCAGTGTGTGTCAGGCAGTGTGTGTCAGGCAGTGTGTGTCAGGGCAGTGTGTGTCGGGCAGTGTGTGTCAGGGCAGTGTGTGTCAGGGCAGTGTGTGTCAGGGCAGTGTGTATCAGGGCAGTGTGTGTCAGGCAGTGTGTGTCAGGCAGTGTGTGTCAGGCAGTGTGTGTCAGGGCAGTGTGTGTCAGGCAGTGTATGTCGGGCAGTGTGTGTCAGGCAGTGTGTGTCGGGCAGTGTGTGTCAGGACAGTGTGTGTCAGGCAGTGTGTGTCAGGGCAGTGTGTGTCAGGGCAGTGTGTGTCAGGCAGTGTGTGTCAGGCAGTGTGTGTCGGGCAGTGTGTGTCAGGGCAGTGTGTGTCAGGGCAGTGTGTGTCGGGCAGTGTGTGTCAGGACAGTGTGTGTCAGGGCAGTGTGTGTCGGGCAGTGTGTGTCAGGCAGTGTGTGTCAGGCAGTGTGTGTCAGGGCAGTGTGTCAGGCAGTGTGTGTCAGGACAGTGTGTGTCAGGGCAGTGTGTGTCGGGCAGTGTGTCAGGGCAGTGTGTGTCGGGCAGTGTGTGTCAGGGCAGTGTG